ATGCTCTTTAAAATAGGATCTGAATATATAGAATCCCAACTTCTATAATCATTTAGAGTTAAGACTATGCCATATATTTAATACTATGAAAGAAAGCACAAGACTTCCGCATATAATTCACAGAGAAGAATATCTTCCTCTCCTTTAAAGAGAGAATTCCCGTTTCGTTGCCTTTTTTTTAGCTTTTCTTTTTCTTGTTATTTTTATTTTTATTTTATTTTTGTTGGTACCGATTTAAGTCTTTTAATACTTTATAAGACAATATAAATAATGTAGAAACGTAAAATAAAGAACACGAGAGAAATGGTATCGCGTTTCAATAACCTACTCCGCAGGACCACACCCAGATGATGAACAATACACTCAAAACTCTTTTACAATTCAATTGGACTTAATCTACCCGAGATTCCCTCTCTAAGAAGACGCCTATGAACTTGCAATTTCCTAATAGACTTGAACAGCGAGATCCCCTCGACTTTTTAACATTGGAATCCCTCCAACTAAGTTTTTCTCTAAAAACCACTCAAATAATCTCTCTTGAATACAAGTACTCACCTCTCTCACAACCCAGCAAAACTAATCAAAAGGTGTACAATAAACCGAGAAACTCTTTGAATAAATAAGCAAAAAGTTAACAGTTTTACGACCTCCTTAATAAATTCGTTGAACCAAATATGTTGCAGATCCTTGTTGCAACAATAATTGCAACGTAGTTGTCAAGGTCGACTTTTTCCAAACCAGTCTGAATCAATCTGCTTTAAATCTGAAACCTTTCCGAAACTTATATATGAACCTGGACACATTTCTAGGAGACAGAGGAAGATCATCAGCTATGAAAACTCAATCAAATATCAATCAAATCACCAATTCTCAATTTACCATCTTTGGATCAATAGTTGACTTTTCAAAAACAGTAACTGAATTAAGTTTCCAGATTCTTACAGACACCTTCCATAAAGAGCTTGCAAGAGTATACAGACACCTTTCATAAAGAGCTTGCCAACTGCACATCTATTCTCAAACACAATCAACCAGTCAATCATTTTTAAAATAATGTCAATCATAAAATGATTAGAATCAATACAGAATTTAGGAAACAAATCCCAACAATCTCCCCCTTTGGCATTATTTTGGAAAAACTAAAAAATGGAAACTGAAATAAAAGAACTTTCGTAAAGTCAACCAGCACAAACCAAATCTCCCATTTTTTTGACAAAAATAATGCTCAAAGTAAAACTACTGTTGCAGAGAGTGTTGCAACACCTGATGGAACACTATGTGCAACATTTTCCTGCAGATCACGTTTCAATTCATTGATTTCTGCAAATCGCTCCCCCTGAATCCTCTACGAGTCTTACTCCCTCTGAATATGATAATCTTCTATGCATATTGCTTTTTATCACCTATCAAAAGCTTAATGTGACCATTACCATAATACTAAGAGTTAGTAGTACATGCTTTAAAAGAAGTGTAAGCCCCATGACACCTTAAATCAGATTTCCTTACCCACACACGTCTAGGAAATTTATTTTGCACATTAATCTTTGCTTTAGGTGTCCTTGTGAATGCGGAATTTGGTGGATTAACGATCATACCTCTTTTTAAAGCATTCAAGTATTTATAACATCTAGGTCTAATGTGGCTAGACAAATTACAATAGTAACAGATAAGAACAAATCTGTATGTTGCTTGTCTTGTTACAACAGGCTTTGCAACAAACTTCTTGTCTGATCTTACCTGAGCTTTCTTAAAGGACTGCATCATAGTATTGGTGGCTCCTTTCCCAAAGACTGTCTTCCCAAAAATTTCTTGACCCTTGTAACCAAGGCCTGAATGATCATCACAAGTTTTTTGTTGTGAGAGTAAGTGATCCAATTTTGTTGTGCCCGAGTTTAGCATCCTTAAATTCTTCTAGGTCTGCTCTAATTCGAGTCTAGTCTCAACAAGCTTTCTCTGATGGTTTGTTGCCAAGATTTCATAATTTGTTGTAGCCTTCTTCAACTCATCTCTTTCCTTTGTTAAGACAACAACTTCATCTTCAAGCGATTTATTTCGTTTGCAAACAATAAGCCATTTGATGTACATCTTCTTATAAGCCTCATGAATCTTCCCAAGACTTAGGTCATCATCGTCACTGTCATCTTCAGTTTCATCCTCAAAATCTGTATCAACAACTCCACCAGAGGTTATTGCAGACGCTATTGCAACAGACTCTGCAACAACATTATTCGTGCTAAATAAATTTTTATCTGTGAATTCATTTCTTACAGTGAAAGCCAAATAATTACTGGTATGATCATCTGCATCCTCTTGACTTTCATCCGAATCATCACTCCATGTAGACACCATGGTAGCCTTGTTTCTCTTCTTGAGAGTGTTTGCACACTCTGCTTGAACATGTCCGAATCCTTCACATTCTCGGCATTGTATTCCTTTATTTCTTTTCTTCTCTTCAAACCATTGAGAGTTAAAATTATTCTTTTGAGAATTTTTGTTCTTTGAATTCTCTCTAAATCTCCCTTTCTTGTTGATATTTCTCAGCATTTTATTGAAGTTTTTGGTGAGTAAGGTAAGAGACTCACTCAAATCGCCATCTTCGTCGGTCTCATCTTTGGTGGACACATCATCATAATTTGCTTGAAGAGCAATTCCTCTACTTTTCTTCTTATCCTTAAAGTTCATCTCAAAGGTTTAAAGATTATTTATGAGTTCATCAAGTCTCATCTTCTCCACTTTTTTGCTTCTTCGATGGCTGTCACTTTGTAAGCAAAACGTGCCGGAAGTGACCTCAAGGTCTTTTTCACCAATTTGGCGTCAGAATATTTTTCTCCAAGGGCGAAGGCTTCATTAGCAATATCACAAAGCTTTGAGTTGAAATCGGCAATACACTCATCTTCCTCCATACGCAAACGCTCAAAATGGGTAGTGAGGATTTGAAGTTTTGAAAACTTCACAGCATCCGTACCTTCATGTGCAGTTTTAAGAATATCCCACGCTTCTTTAGCAGACTCACATGTGGAAATTAATTTAAATTGATTAACATCCACAGCATTAAAAATGGCGTTCAATGCTTTTGAATTACTGTTTGCTAGCTTGTCCTCATCGTTAGACCATTCTTCTTCTAGCTTAGGAACGGTATTGCCTTTATCGTCTTTAGTTATTGGATGAGTCCATCCGGTTAAGACAGATCGCCATGTCTTCTCATCAATAGCTTTAATGAAATCTTTCATGCAAGCCTTCCAATAGGGGTAATTGACACCTTCCAGAAATGGTGATTTGTTCACAAATCTTCCTCTCATGATATACATTCTTGTAAAATCAACTAGTACACCAAGACCTTACCGAAATACACGTTAGTGACCCACTCTGATACCAATTGTTGGTACCGATTTGAATCTTTTAATACTTTATAAGCACTACAAGAAATATCAGCATTAGTAACTGATCAAAAACGCTATTAATCACTAGCAATATCATTTTATGGAGCGTTAGGACATCAAACGCTATTAAAAGTCCTAAAAAAAATAACGTTCTAAGAGAATTATGGAAAGCACTATAGAATTGAGGTATTATAGCGTTTAAAATAAGTTATTTTTAACCTCTTACAACTATTTAGCATGGCTACGATACAGATTAATACTTATTTTCATTGTCATGTTCATACTCTTGTAGCTTTTTAAAATTAGTATTGATATCCTTTTGAATTCATTCAAATAGATGGTGATTCTGAGCAACATCTTATATCTAAACAGGAACATTCAAATTAAAACATAAAAACATTCAACATATCAATTGTTATCAGTATCTACCAAGTTGGCAATAAAATTACGTCTACAACATAATTCATACAATGTCCAAAACCTTAACATTCAAAACAAATAAAGAAAACAGAAGAATAGCTGGAGATATCAAAGTATCCAAAACGTCCAACTAAGTGAAATGGTGAAGTAAATCCTTCCATCTTGACAAAATGCTTCAACAAAAAAGTCATCTCCACTGTTTAACCCGTAAAAAAAGTGATCCACTATCAAAACAATAATCAAACTCAACTAAAACTTCCACCATTTAACCTATAAATAAAACAAGGACTAGTTACACCATTCACAACTACATTGCCACATCCACATATGTTTTGCAGTGAATTAAAAGAAACATGGCTGTAATGATGCACTAGGCAAAATTTTAATGTCAAACTTGTAAGACAGAAAGTATCTTACATGTATTGTTATGTAAATAGTTGGAGAAAACATAAGTCTTCATTGCCTATATTTAAACCCGAAGAAGAAAGAAAGGAAAAAACGTAGTGACAACTCCTGCATAAAATCGTTCAACAAAGCAAAGCAAAACAAAATAGCAAAAGAGCAAAGACAACCCAAACCAAAGCAAAATAGCAAATTAGCAAAACCAAAACTAATCATAAACATAAGCCTCTGCAAATCAATTCCATTCCAACAAATCCTCCAAATCAAATGCATAGTTACACCCCTCAAAGAAAACCAACCTATTGTTCACATCTTGGCTCCTAGAGATCACCTTCTCCGGCGACATATCCCCATTGTTCAATTTCACGCATAGTAGGCTCAGAAATGTGTAATGGCCCTCATCGTCCCCTTATGGAGCATTATCCTAGACTATGACATAGTTTGCTACCAAGGTTTAGCATCACTTTAGCATAATGTAAAGTTCTCACTTCACTTTAAATAAACTAATTCTCCATATAAGGTCACTTATGAACATAGTTTATACACCAATATGCCAAGAGTTTTTGCATAAACTGGCAACCAACAATTATCACACCATTGAAAATCACTCAACATAAGGATCCACGGCCTCCAAACACATTTAATCATGGCATTTAAATTTCATACTATAAGTGACCATGTATATATTTTTTATGTAAGGAATGTGTGGTGGCCTTAAGGTTCCATGTATGGAGCAAACTTCATAGGCAACGACAATTACGCTACCAAGGTTTAGCTAACTTCGACATATTGGTGGGGATGGCCGTTAGAGTGAAGCAAAGCATACTTACCAAGGACATCGACATGTGGACTTTGCGCTTATAGACACAACAATTTAACTTCTTCCTGTGATATTCAACAGAGACATATATATACATATTATACTTGTACATAGAAGATCTTACTAAGGGAGCAATCAACAGAATTTAACTCCAAATGAGCAGTGGATGCATGTTATTAGCCCAGAAGCAAGAATGGCATAATAATAACACCATTTTTATATCAACTTAAGCAAAACATAAGAATAGAAAACTTCATTAAACCTGAGGCAAATGACGACTAGCTTCCGTTTCTTGTTCCGGTCCAACAACGGGGACGCTGCCCTGCCCTTCTCCTGCCGTGGAAGGACTTCAGCCAGCAGTCTAACCATTCTTCTCCAAAATTTATAATCAAACAAGAGCTAACAAAGTAATAAACTGCCAACATAGCTTCAAAAAGAATACTCCTACAAGTACAAATAAATCAATCAACTGATAATCAAATCCAGAATTCATTCCCTTTTGGCTTTACCTTGGAGGAAATCATCTCAGCCGTGGCAATCTTAGCAAGCTTAGCCTTGAAAGAAGGATCAAGATCCTTCTTGTCCAACGCCCGAACTCCAAATGCCTCCATAGACCAGAAACCCAAATTCAGAGATCAAATGGCAGTGGAAGAAAACTGGAAGCGAAAATGCAGTACACGAATTCAATAGCAGTACAATTCATCAAATTCAACAGATCTACACCTTTGGGAGTGAAAATGCAGTGCACAAAATTTCTAAATAAAACAGAGAAATGGAGAACAAAGAGAGAGTGAAATGTGAACCTCTTTGGGTAACAGAGCTTGGCGTAGGAAGAGAGCTTCACGGGCCTTCGATCTTCCTTCCACGACCTAATCTTCACAAAATCATGTCAACGAAAAAAGAACCAAAAGGGGGCGAATGACCGAGCGGGAAACGTAAAATTTGGGGGCAAAATTTAAGAAATGGAGAACATACAAAGATAGAGAAATGCGAACCTCCTTGGGTAACCAAGCTTCGCGTAGGAGGACAGCTTCACGTGCCTTCGATCTGCCTTCCACGACCCAGTCTATTTCAAAATCACGTCGAGGCCAAAATCAGAGCATAACCTTCCGGTCAAGCAAAGCAAATCAATTTGGATATCAGAGCATAACGGGGAAATTTTGGAATTTGGGGGAAAGAGAGGAACGAGTGAGGTGGAATCGAGTGAGTTTTCTTTTTCCTTGGCTGGGTAAATGCCTCTTTGTCAGAATAGGAGAAGTGGGAATTTAGGGCTTCTTTTTGTTCCTTGTTCGTATGAGACTTGGAAAGACTGGCAATGGAGGCTCGTCGGCGGTGAGATTGAGCGATGCGAATGATAGAGAGGAAGTAGTGGAGGCCTCTGGTCTAGAGTGGGGAAGCTTTTGTTCGTATGAGAATTTGAGTAGCAAGCAAAGCACAAATAAAAAAGGGGGGGGAATGAAGCGGCGGGAATTTGGAAATTTGGGTAAACGAGAGCAGCAAGCAGAGCAAAAAAAAAAAAAGAAGTTTTACTACAGTAAAAAACTCTCACAAATAATCACATCTAACTTTTTTACTACAGTAAAAAGCTCTCACATACAATCACATCTCAACTCGAATTCTAAACTCGAATCAGCGAAACGAACGAGGCCTTAGAAATTTAGAGAAACAATTTTTCCACTGTCTAATCACTCTAATGTGTACAGTTATATATATTTAAATATATACACAATAAACCAGTTAAAATTTTATTAACTTATATATATATACATATTATAACTATTTTGAAACCTTATTATATATAGCCGAAAAAACATTTAATAACTTTGTTTTAAAAACGCTATAACTAACAGTTATAAAATGCATGTTTTGTAGTAGTGAAGATAATATAAATAATGCAGAAACGTAAAATAAAGAACACGAGAGAAATGATATCGCGGTTCGATAACAACCTACTCCACGGGGCCACACCCAAATGATGAACAATCCACTAAGAATTCTTTTACAATTCAATTGGACTTAATCTACCCGAGACTCTCTCTCTAAGAACACGGCTATGAACTTGTAATTTCCCAATGGACTTGAACAGCGAGATCCCCTTTACTTTTTAACATTGGAATCCCTCCAACTAAGTTTTTCTCTAAAAAACACTCAAATCATCTATCTTGAATACAAGTGCTCACCTCTCTCACAACCCAAGAAAACTAATCAAAAGGTGTATAATAAACTGAGAGACTCTTTGAATAAATAAGCATAAAGTTAACAGTTTTACGACCTCCTCAATAAATTCGCTGAACCAAATCTGTTGCAAATCCTTGTTGCAACAATAACTGCAACATAGCTGTCAAGGTCGACTTTTCTAAACTAGTCCGCATAAATCTGCTTTAAATCTGAAACCTTCCCGAAACTCATATATGAACCTGGACACATTCCTAGGAGACAGAGGAAGATCATCTAGCTACAAAAACTCAATCAAATATCAATCAAATAACTAATTCTCAATTTACCATCTTTGGATCAATAGTTGACTTTTCAAAAACAGTAACTGAATTAAGTTTCTAGATTCTTTCAGACACCTTCCATAAAGAGCTTGCAAGAGCATACAGACACCTTCCATAAAGAGCTTGCAAGCTGTACATCTATTCTCAAACACAATCAACCAGCCAATCATTCTCAAAATAATGTCAATCATAAAATGATTAGAATCAATACATAATTTGGGAAACAAATCCCAACACTTTTCTTCCTTTTCCTTCTTATCTTTTTTATGGTATTTCTTTAACTGTGATTTTTCTGTATTTTCAAATATATCTCTTATAAATACTTTTTTTTACGATTATGTAAAATATTATTTTTTTGATCACTTTGATAATCATTCAGCCTAATCATATGCTATCAGAAATATTAAATGCTATAATCTTTATTCTAAGTTAGAGGTTTTAAACGTATTCTGTAATCGCCGTTTCCCTTACATTCCCTTACATTTTATTTTAATTGATAGAACACCATCGTTTTCTACTTTATAGGCAAGACATAGTCGTTTTATAAGAGAGATATTTTTACCCTGAACTCAAATCACTGTGACGCCTCCCACTCTAGCGGTGGGTCACCAACCTTATACTACTACTAGTAGGCTGATATATTGTCTAATCCATCACTTATTACTTAACTATCACCTCGTTGTATCTGTTGGGAATGGTGTCCTAAAAGCATGAGATGTAATAGGATATTTATTATTTATTTAATAAAATAGTTTATTCATTATTTTATGTGCATATAATTATGAATATTTTGTGAATATCAATGAAAATTCCATGATTATTTATGTAACCTTAAACACTGTATATAAGTGTTATATACGAGAGGATACTGTTTAAGGATAATAATCAAAAAGCAATGTTCATAATGAATTTAATTAAAGTTCAGAATCTTTAATTAAAACATTATTAATACATGTCATTCCCATTTAGAATGGAACGGTGTTATCCGCACTGTTAATATGGCGAGATATTGAATGAGTGTATTTCGCATAATGAGATTATGTGGAATAAGGACACAGACACAATATGAATTTCTAATAATTCCGTTAAGTATAGAAATTCTAATTGAGTCTACCGATGGTCATATATAGGATGATCTTAATCCCGAGTTCTTAACAGACTCCTATTTATGGATTTGTGTCTTTTGATTTACTCGGTACGGATTCTGAGATCCTGAATCCTATTCCTTGTATTTTGGAGACATGATGAAGTAGGTAGCCGGGAATGTTATTACACGAGATGGAATCCATTCCTTCTTAAGAAAGAAGTAGATAAATAATTCTCTTAAGGGTTGATTCAGTACTTGAACCAGTAGGAGCTCTGATTCATGAATGTGTTTTATGAATCACTGTCCATTAGAGAATCAAT